AATGTTGATGCGATCCTTAACACCGATTCATGATCGGTCTTCTATTCTAAGTTAGCACGATCCATTGTTGCCTCGTTGAAAACCTTGCCAGAAAACCCATTTGGGACAAAACCGGTTCAAAGGAAAAATAGTACAACGCGTGCTTTCTGACCTAAAAATCCGTACCGCTTCTTGTTGGTTACTTGCAAATATTAGTCCAAAATTAAGTAAAAGGAAATGGATGAGGTCATACCCTAGCAGTAGTATCGCTTCAAGTGAGTTATGTTCCAGTTATTTGGTAGCCTTTCACCGTTCATTGCCCCGAGTTTGTACGATCCTTTTCCAGCGATCTCGAGAATTTGGTACGATCCTTCCCAGTTCAGCCCCAACTTCGCTTCGTTCGGGTTTCGGGTGTTTAGTGTGACCTTTCTTAGTACTAAGTCCACGATATTGAAGTGTCGAAGGTTGTCCCTTCGATTGTAATACCTCTCGATCCGCTGTCTTTGGGCGTCCAACCGGACGAGGGCGGCTTGGCGTCTTTCATCTAATAGCTCCAGGCTCTTACTCATGGCCTTGTCATTCGATTCCTTTGTTGCATATCGTAATCTGACACTTGGTTCACCAACTTCGACCGGTGTTAGAGCTTCGGCACCATAAACCAGCGAGAACGGGGTGGCCCCGGTACTGGACTTTGAGGTCGTACGGTATTCCCGTAGGACTTCAAGTAGGATTTCCTTCCATTTTCTATTGGCGTTGGTTAACCTCTTTATGAGGTTTTGGAGTATGGTTTTGTTGGTCGATTTTGCTTGTCCATTCCCACTAGGGTGATAAGGTGTTGACAGGAACCTTTTGATCTTATGGCACTCGATAAATTTGGTCACTTTGCTACAAATAAATTGTTTCCCATTGTCACATACAATTTCGGACGACATTCCAAACCAACATATGATGTGGTCCCAAATAAAGTCGATGACTTCCTTGTCTCTGACCTTGTCGTACGCCTGGGATTCAACACACTTAGAAAAATAGTCAGTCATAAACAATATAAATTGAGTCTTACCGGGTGCCCATGGAAGAGGGCCAATGATGTCCATTCCCCGCTTCATGAATGGCCATGGTGACAAGACCGAATACAGCAGCTTTACGGGTTGGTGAATCATCGGAGCATGTCCCTGGCATTCATCACATTTTCGTACGAACTCCTTCGCGTCTTTTTTCATGTCGATCCAGTAATAGCCGTCTTTGATTACCTTTCGAACCAATGATTCGGCACCTGAATGATTTTCGCAGATGCCCTCGTGGACTTTCCTCAGAACGTACTCGGTATCTCCTGGTCCCAGACATATTGCTAGTGGGCCATCGAACATTCTTCTGAACAAGGTTCTGTCTTCGGACAAACTGAATCGGGTTGCCTTTGTGTGCAGGGTCCTCGATTCTTTTGGATCTAAGGGCAGTTTCCCAGTCTTCAAATATTCTACATATTTGTTTCTCCAATCCCAAGTCAAGCTTGTAGAGTTTATTTCGGCGTGACCTTTTTCCACTACCGATCTCATGAGCCGTATGACTACCCTCGAGTTGAGCTCGTCGTCTTCGACCGACGACCCTAAGTTTGTAAGAGCATCGGCCTCACTATTTTGATCCTGAGGTACGTGCTGCAAAGTACAGTCTTTGAACCGATGTAATGTTACCTACAACTTATCTATGTACCTTTGAATTCGTTCTTCTCTGACTTCGAATGTCTCATTAACTTGGTTCACCACAAGGAGGGAGTCGCACTTAGCTTTGATCACCTTCGCCCCCAAGCTTTTGACCAGTTCGAGACCTGCAATCGTGGCCTCATATTCGGCCTCGTTGTTAGTCAATTTCACAATTCTAATAGATTGTCTAACTACATTGCCTGTGGGTGGCTTCAGTATGATGCCAAGTCCGGACCGTTTTGCGTTCAAGGCGCCATCCGTAAAGAGGGTCCAGGTTCCCGAAGACGTCCCCAAGTTTACCATCAACTCTCTTTTGACCTCGGGTATTAGGGCCAGCATAAAGTCGGCCACGAAATCTTCCAAAATTTGAGATTTAATGGTCGTCCGGGGTCGATACTCAATATCGTACCCGCTGATTTCCACGACCCATTTGGCCAATTGTGCCAAGAGTTCGGGTTTATGCATTATATTTTGCAATGGATAAGTAGTCACAAGATAACACACATAGGATGGCACTGAAAATATGGTTTTGGTTTCCTAGATGCACCTAACAAAGCGAGCTCCAATTTTTCTAAGTGAGGGTACCTAGCTTTGGCCTCACCCAAGGTCCTGCTAACATAGTAAACTGGAAATTGCGTACCTTGCTCTTCTCGAACCAGGACTCCACTTACCGCTATCTCTGATACTGTGAAGTACATGTATAGTTGTTCGTATGCCTTCGAGGTGTGAAGAAGTGGTGGGCTCGATAGGTATCGTTTGAGTTCTTCCAATGCCCATTGGCATTCCGGGGTCCATGAGAAGTTTTTTTTCTTTTTCAGTAGCGAGAAAAATCGGTGGCGCTTATCGGAGGACCTCAAAATGAATCGTCCCAAGGAAGAAACGCGCCCGGTTAGCCTTTGCACGACCTTCACTCTATCCACCACTGTGATATCCTTGATAGCTTTGATCTTGTCGGGGTTGATCTCGATTTCCCGGTTGGATACCATGAACCCGAGAAATTTGCCTGACCCAACTCCGAACACATATTTCTCTGGATTCAGCTTCATATTGTACTTTTTTAATATGCTGAAGGTTTCCTGCAAATGCTTTAAATGGTCCTCTACTCGCGGGGATTTAACCAACATATTGTCAATGTAAACTTCCATGGATTTTCCTATTTGTTCTTCGAACATTCGGTTTACTAATAAGTGGCACCGGTGTTTTTTAATCCGAATGGCATTACGTTATAGCAGTACGTGCCATACTTAGTGATGAAGGAGGTTTATTCCTGATCATCTGGGTTTATCCGTATTTTCTTGTACCCGAAATAGGAGTCGAGAAAATTGAGGATCCCGTGGCCGGCGGTGGCATCGATCATGCGATCGATATTGGGAAAAGGGAAAGAGTCCTTGGGACATGATTTATTTAAATCCTTATAGTATACACACATTCTTAATCTGTTCCCCTTTTTAGGTACTACCACTATGTTTGCTAACCATTCTAAGTATTTCACCTCCCGAATGGACCCTATTTTAAGGAGTTTAGATACCTCGTATATCTCGGACTGGGGTCTCCTTTTCTGCTTGACCAGGTGGAATTTCGGGTCCAGGCTTAGCTTATGAGGGGTAATCTCCGGTGGTATTCCTGTCATATCAAGATAGGACCAAGTGAAACAATCTATGTTAGCTATAAGAAATTGAATGAGTTTTTTCTCATGCTCGGGGGTTAACCCCGTGCCCAGGTATACCTTCTGATTGGGTAAACATTTGATCGATGTGACTTGTTCGAGCTCCTCGACCGTTGATGTGGTGGCGTCGGAATCATCAGGTACAATAAAAAATATGGGAACCCCGTAATCATCGTCTTCACCAATCCCCTGTTTATCCGATTGGGTCGTGGCCGGTGTCGATAATTGCTATTTAGCCTCTTGTTTTGTATCTGAACTCGTAAGGGGAAGTGCCATGGTGTATGCTATTTGCTGATGATATAGTCCTAATTGACGAGACAAGATGCGGCGTCAACGAGAGACTAGAGGTTTGGAGACAGGCCCTTGAGTCTAAAGGTTTCAGGTTGAGCAGGACGAAGACGGAATATCTCGAGTGCAAATTTGGGCCCGAGCCGACGGACGCGGGAGTGGAAGTGAGGCTTGACTCCCAAGTCATCCCTCAGAGGGGTAGTTTCAAGTACCTTGGGTCAGTTATTCAGGGGACCGGGGAGATCGACGAGGATGTCACACACCGTATAGGGGTGGGGTGGATGAAGTGGAGGTTAGCAACGGGAGTCCTGTGTGACAAGAAAGTGCCACCGTTACTAAAAGGTAAGTTTTATAGAGCAGTGGTTAGACCGGCCATGTTGTATGGGACCGAGTGTTGGCCGGTTAAGAACTCACACATCCAGAAGATGCGAGTAGCGGAGATGAGGATGTTGAGGTGGATGTGTGGGCATACAAGGATGGATAAGATTAGGAATGAAGTTATTCGAGAGAGGGTGGGCGTGGCGTCTATGGAGGAAAAGATGCGGGAAGCAAGAATCAGATGGTTCAGGCACATTCAGAGGAGGAGCACTGATACACCGGTGAGAAGTTGTGAGCGACTGGCGGTGGTGGGCACGAGGAGAGGTAGAGGGAGACATAAGAAGTATTGGGGCGAGGTGATCAGGCAGGACATGACGCGACTTAGGATTACTGAGGACACGGCCCTTGACAGGGGATTGTGGAGGTCGAGCATTAAGGTTGTAGGTTAGGGAAAGTTGGAAATATTTCTACAGCGCGCTAGAGTGAGACTAGACAACTAGGAGTTAGGCTTAGGATGTTACTGATCAGCTACTGATGCAAGGCTTTATATTATAGATATTAGTATACTTTCCTCTTTCTCGTATTTCCTGTATTCCTTATATTGTTGTTATTTGTTATTTATGTTATTTCAGGTTATGTTGTCTATTTTATGTTATTTATTATGAGTCTATTGATAGTACTAATATATCGTCACTTGTTTCTGCCACTTGTTTCTTTCTTGAGCCGAGGGTCTCCTGGAAACAACCTCTCTACCCCTCGGGGTAGGGGTAAGGTCTGCGTACATATTACCCTCCCCAGACCCCACTTGTGGGAATATACTGGGTTGTTGTTGTTGTTGTTGTTGTTGTTGTAAATAATACTAACAAAACTAAGCACTTGGATTTTCGTTATTTTCATCATACCAATTAAAGTATTTTTGCACTTATCTAATATAGAGATTTTAGCAATTTTATAAAAATATTTTTGTTATTTAAAAAAAATTAATTTTCTCAACTAACTTGTTCGGTTTTGTTGCCTAAAATTTCTTTCTTTTTGGCTCCAAAAGCAGACGTGGTAATTTCTCCCTCCTATTTCCAAAAATTTCCCAAATACACCTTAACCCAGCTACTTGGACTCCTTCAAGGATTCTCAAATACCCTAGTTTGCTACAGCTGTCTCTCTCCTAATACACCTTGACCCAGCTAGTTGGGACTCCTCTCCACGCCTTCGATGCCTTAACGGCGGGGATATACCGGAAATATCCCTCGCCGACAACCTGATAGCTCTTCGGAATGGAAAGCGGCAGAGATTTGATTTCTCTTAGGTCGACGATGGATTTTGTTTTTTTCTTTCTTAGTAAAATATGGGTACTAACATTGTGTTTGTTTTAAATCGGAGTAAATTCGTCAAAACGGAGCAGAGAAGAGATTAGGCAAAAACGTCTTCTGGATAAGATTTTTCTAGAGCTTCAAACCCTAACTGTATGTCTTAATTTTTTACCAAAAATTGTAGTCATCTGATAGTGCAATCCCTTTTTCTATTCTTCTGATTTGTATTTTTTTTTCCGGCCAGATTTTGCGGCATTTAACAGATTTGAGAGTACAACTATACCATCAGAGGTATCTATCTCTGTAATCTGGAATTGTTCATTATAATTTTTTGTTTATTATTATTGACTGAGAATACCCAGGCTCATCTAATTTTTTTACTTCTTTCAGACATTTCATTTTTGAATTTGTGAGATTCTTCAAGGTATGTGTCTTATTTTCTTTCGAAAAATTCTCGTCATTTTATTTTTCTGGAAATGAGATTTTTATTTTTGATGTTACTGTTTGAATCTGAAAATAGGTATAATCTAGTTATTTGTTCACTTTGAGAAAGGTTGAATTTAACAGTGTACGTTGGCCTTTTACTTCTCCGGCTACTTATAAAAAGTAGCTTCACTGTATGTTGAAGGTGTTTGAATGTGTTGAAGGCGAGATATTTTCCTTTTCTCTAGAATTTAAAGGTGCTATTTTTCATTTGACTTACTCTCCCCGTTCATTCATGTGGTCGTGTTCAAGGATAACAATATTATTTCATCAAGGTAGCCTAATTTTGTATGTCGTATTTGTTGCTTCCAGTAGTCTTCTCAATTAGTAAGAGTTAAAGAATTGGCTATTAGAAACTCAGCCTCTATTCATAGTAATGGTTCCTCTAGATGTGAGTGTATAAAGTAAATGTAAAAGCATTCTACTGTTGCATCAGTTTTCAAATACATGATCCACTAAAATTATTGCACAACTACCTATTTCTAAGATTAATGGTAAGTGCAAGTCCAATAATCAAACTGTAACCTCTGTTGCAAATTTATGTATATTTGCTTTTACATTACGTAATGATATCTTTCAGTGGTGAAATCATAGCTAAGGCAAGGATTTCACTTGAGGTATGTGTTTAATGTGTTGGACTTATTTTACATTCTGTTTTGAGTATCAAGAAGTTCTTATGCATTGTTTCAGATTTGTGAGGTAGAATTATGAAAAAAGTTGAAGCCCATAACTTCGTCACTGATATTTGCTTTTCTGCTACAAATTGCTAACTGTTGACTCATGCTATCAAATAAAATCATATTCTCTTTATTGGTTAGTTATAAACGAGGGGATGCCTAGATGGGATGAGTTTAATGTAAGCAAATCCATCAGTAAATTGAAGGTGGACATGATGAGTTCATAAATGAAGCAGGTATGGCAGCTGCAACTGAAGATAAAGAAACTCACTCATATGAAATAGACCCTGCTCAGGTAGTAGTTTAATGCTTTGCAACAACTAGATTGCTTGATCTCTTTTTACACTCTTTTGGATTGAGATAAGAGTCTGGTGTCTGATACTGCGTTAAAATAAGTTGCAGGAGTTCCATTATTAATTTTGATTCTTAATTGGTCTATTACCGTCTGCTACATAGAAAACACAAGACGAAGAATACATGGGTTAATGAAGTTGAAAATGTATGAAACTGGTAGAGTATATTTGGTCTCCTCAATTATAGGTTGCGCTTGGGTATTTCAAACTATGTCTCTGTTCTGTTGATTTTTTGGCTTTGGTCCTTGAGCAATTTCTTTCCATGTTTACTGTTGGCCCATTACTGACGTCTGACGTCTACATAAAAGACCGAAGATGTAGAATACATAGGTTAATGATGTAGAATACATACATCTTACTAATATATATATATATATATATATATATTATATATATAATAATATATATATATATATATATATATTATGATTAACGTCTAATTTTTTTTCCTGAATCGTGATATCAGAAAGTATGACTAAAATTATGACTCTTGTTTCACAGGTACATGAATGTGGAAATTCTTCTGGGGTAAATTTATTAGACAAAGTGACTACATTACAATTATTCTTGTATACCAATTAGACTTTCATTTCGGATAGATTTTATTTTATTTATGTATTTTAATTTATGGAGTTTCTAATGAAATATTATCACAAATATAGTATTAACTTTTTAGAATTATATGATCATGGATGATATTTTTTAGGACTGTTTTGGTTGTTTTAAGTTCTAGTTGGTCGTATTTTGTTATTGAAAACCAACTGGAAATGACTTTTTTTTTCCCAGAAATTCATAATTTCCGACCGAATTCGGTGGGAAATTTCCAATAAATTCTCCAGATTATTTAAATTTCCGACCGAATTCGGTCGGAAATTATGAATTTATTTTTATTTTTTAAAATAATTTAACAATTTACAAATAATTATTTAATTAAAACTAAAAAAATAATAATATTTTCCGACCGATTTCGGTCAGAAATTTGAAAATTAAAAAAAAATATTCAATAATTTTCGACCGAATTCGGTCGGAAAATAAAGTTCGAGGGGCAGTCAACACATTGAATTTTTCGACCGATTTCGGTAGGGAAATTTTCGACCAATATTTTCCGACCGATTTCGGCCGGAATTTTGCGACCAATTGCGGTCGGGCTAAGTTTGCGACCATTGTTTTTCCGTCCAATTAAAAACGGTCGGAATTTGGTCGGAAATTATCAATTTCCGACCGATTTCGGTCGGAAATTATGGACGAAAATCACCTAATTTCTAGTAGTGAATTTTAGTATCAGGAAATGCAAACTTTCTTCAAAATTCTCCAAGAATTTTAACTTAAAAATTTGTTTAATTTAAGGATAATATAAATGGATTAAGATTCTTGGATTCGTCTATCTACTTCTTCACTACGTCATCAATCTCGTTCAGGTCAGTGTTATCTCACTTACTTTCTTCTTTAAGATTAATTAGTACTCCACATCTCATTTAGGCGTCACTTTCCTTTTAAGTTTACTCAATAGAATGTTACATTTATATACATAAAAAGAATCTAACTTTAAGTTCTGATTTTATCTTAATAAAATGATTTATAACTATGAAAATATTTATGTGATTTTATATAGTTATTAATATTACTACTTTCGAATATGTTTTAAATTATACACATAATATGAGAAAGTTTATGAGATTTTCTTTATTGTAAAGATAGAAATTATTTTCTCACATAAAAAGAAGGTTATCTTTTTATCATTTTAAAAATTGAGCGTACGAAATATTTGTACTCTTTATATGAGATTAGGAAAATTATAAGTTGAGAAAATATATGTATTTTACATGTATTTTTTTATTGAAATAATAATGTATGAATTTATTTTATATGATACCACATTACCGTAATAGTACGGGGTATAAAGTATATTAAAAATAAGTAGAATTTTAAGTAAATTGGGACAATTCTTAATTATACGGGTAATTGATTAATTATCGGATAGCGAGATATTATTTAATTAATTGAATAAGATTAATAATTTTTCACGTGGCAACCTTATAACCTAAATGTAGTGACTCTTGCATCTTTGTAGAAAACGTGGCATACATCTACCAAGTATAAGCATCAGAGAAATCCTTTGAAGACCTGCCAGTTTGCGAACTGTCCGTATAAAAAGTGTTAGGTTTTATTAGTTCTTCACTCCTTTGAGTTTTTTGTTTTCGTTTTTCAAAAGAATTGGATTATACTCCCTAACTCCTACTCATGGAAATTCCTTCTGAACCTTGTGACCCTTGCATTTTGATTCTTGTTTTAGTTATTGCTACCTCCTGGTTAATTACAATGCTATATAAATGCCGAAATGTAACTTCCTGTGAATTCATCTAGCCAACCTTCAAGAAAGAATCTTGTTTGTTTTAACATTTTCCTCCTCCAATTGCACCAAGTTTTTGTGCTCATTCTAGAGATACCTTACGTTTACATATTGCCGAAAGTTGTGCAGAAGTTACAAAATTTGTGTACACCGTTCACCATGCATCCCATATTTTGCCTAATTGTGTTAATTGCGAAGCTAGCAAGGGAGTTGACCAAAAGTTGGAACTATGAATAAACACAAAGAGTCAGTTCTAGAATAAGTAGAACTGAGACGGATTGTGGTGCCTAAATGCGGACAACTCATATTTTTGGTTCAATCTTCCAGGAGAATGGCATGATTGGTGCGAATGACACAGAATTAAGATTTGATGTTTGAAATTGAGGAGTGCCACAAAAATGTTATGCGTTATGAACAAACGTAATAAAATGAGATGCAAGTTTTATTGAAAAATTGTGAGACCAACATGTTATAAGGGAGTGATTAAGTGAAATTTGGTATTTGTATAGGAGATTAAATTGGTCACCCAATTTGGAATATGTTCTAGTCACAATCTTTCCGTATCTGAGATCCAAAGTGTAGTGTCCGTACCCTCTTTTATTGCTATGAAGATCTTGTGGCTTATCTGAAAATAGATAGGCCGAGCCTCTAATTCGATACGCCGTTACGTGTTTTTTCGCAAAGACGTGTGTTAGAGCGATTGTCAAGAGAATCGGCTCAGGTATGTTAAGGCTATTCCTTTTTTATTTTTGGCATGGTCCATACGATACGAACGAAACGTACAAATGCATAAATTCTATAAATGACTCTATTCATAAAATTAGAAGTGCCAATGTTTCTTGAATCTCCATATGTCTTATTGTTCCATCGTCTGTTCATGGGTCTCATAAAATACGTAAAATGATTTTATGATATTAATCAGAGGTATAATGGTCTTATGACGTACCGAGAGATTTTTTTATCGTATTTCATATGCATTTCATGTATTTATACATGTACATTGACCCATGACTCAGACGGCGTTATATACGCTATATATGTATATATATGTATATGGGATATGGAAAAATGTTACGGCGTTATATACGCACCACCACCCGAACAGCTGGTATATGATGATGATGTTGCCCACAGTGACTGAAATATGATTCAAACGGCGTTATATACGCGTATATATATGTAAATATGATTCAAACGGCGTTATATGCGCGTATATATGTATGTATATATATGTATATGGGATATGGGAAAGGTTAACCTGATCAGCTGGTATACGATGATGATTTTGCCCACAGTGGCTGATATGATATGACGGGATGCCCTCAGAGGCTGATGATGTTATGAAACATGTACCTATGCACGACATGACATTCATATGCATATGCATGACGTTAAAAGTAATTTATGATTTACAAAGTTATTCAGATTTATAGGTTGAGTCTTTTACTCCAAGTTTTTATCATGTCTTTGATTAATGTTGACTTACTGTTATGTTTCAGCTCTACCTTACATACTCAGTACATTATTCGCACTGACGTTCTTTTGTTGGGGACGCTGCATTCATGCCTGCAGGTATAGATAATCAGTTGACGAGCCCTCATAGTAGACGAGATTGGCATTCGGCAAATGATCAGTAGGACTCCATCTCATTCGGAGTGCAGCCGAGTATACGAGTCATCGTGTTAGAGTTCTGCTATAGATTTACGGGTAGGCCGGTACCCTATCCCATTTTATGTCAGTTAATCTTAGAGGCTTTTGTAGACAGAGGTTCATTTTGTACAGTACGTCAGAGTCCTTGACGGCCAGTATGTATTCATGTTTTAAGAAAAATGATTTAGGAATACAGTGTTTTCTCACTTATAGTTGTACATTATGAGTTGCGGCCATGTTAGCCCATGATAGTTACAAAGAAGATAAAAGAGTTGCAGAGTGGTTCGCTCGGGCCGTGGTATCGAGTGACAGCCACGCCTCCCCAGGTTTGGGGCGTGACAAAAGCATGTACGAGAAGTCTTATTTAGGGGAACGGGGTTCTAAAAAGCAAAAATGACTGGTCGGGTCGTTACATTCTCCACCTATTAAACAAACGTTCGTCCTCGAACGGGTTTAGATTCATACCTGAAGTGCTAAACGAGTGTGGATATCTGCTCCGCATGTCCTCCTCGGACTCCTAGGTGGCCTCCTCGACTGGTTGGCCCCTCCACTGGACCTTTACCGCAGAAATCCTCTTGGATCTCAGCTGGAGATCCCGTCTATCAACAATGGCAACTAGATCTTCCTCATAACCCAAGCTCTCATCTAGCTGAATAGTACTGAAGTCTAACACATGAGACAAGTCAGTGTGATACTTCCGAAGCATAGACACGTGAAAAACTGGATGAACCCCTGATAGGCTGGGAGGCAGAGCAAGCTCATAAGAAACCTCCCCAACTCGCCTCAACACCTCAAATGGGCCTATAAACCTTGGGCACAACTTGCCCTTCTTCCCAAATCTCATAATACCCTTCATCGGCAAGACTTTCAAGAGAACCTTCTCGCCGACCATGAATGATACATCAGGCGCCTTCTGATCCGCGTAACTCTTCTGTCTGGACTATGCTGTGCGAAGTCTTTCCTGAATCAACTTTACCATTTCCAAGGCATCTTTCACCCAGTCAGTACCGTACAACTTAGCCTCGCCAGGCTCAAACCACCCGATAGGATAACGACATCTCCGACCATATAAAGCCTTAAATGGAGCCATCTCGATGCTGGACTGATAACTATTATTGTATGCAAACTCGGAAAGGCAAGAACTGATCCCACTACCCTCCAAAGTCAATCATGCATTGTAGACATGTGATTTTTGACCCTCCCCAAGACTTTTTTTATTTTAGCATGTAAATATTTAGTTTAGGCCTAATATCGTTATTTCAACTAATTTTGACTATTTTTACTTTATTTCATCGTAAAAAATGAAAATTACAAAAAATAGTTTCGTTAATGTTTTGTAAGTCATAATATCTTATTAGGATGCTTATTTTTAGTACAATCTTTGAAAAATACAAAAAAATAATTGCTAATTTTATCCCCATTTTGGTACATAAGCTAAGATTAACTAGAAGTTTATAGATTTTTACTTCTTAGAAAATAGGAAGAATTAAGCTTGGGCTTATGATTTGTATCTCTTGAATTTAAGTACTCATCTAGCCCAATTTTAAGCCCAAAATTCGGATAGCCCATTCCCAAAAATACATAACACAATAAATAAAAAACCCTAGAAAAAACTTCGGTCTTCAGCCGCAAGAACAAAAGAGAACCGTCCCGAAGGGACGGCCCAGTGGGTTTGGAGGGAGTTTTCCACACGGGAGACGCGGGTTCGATCCCCCCTCAATGCCTT